AATGAATCACTCCCCGAGACGACTCGTTCTTCCCGAGTCACATTATAGGTTCGTTCAAAATGAATGAATCATTCAAGAACGACCCAACACTATCAGAAATATCTAATGGCAGAGCATGTTAAATTTATTAATTTCATTTTGTTGTAGTTTTAAAATTTTACTGCTTGAAATATAGGAATGCTTTGATATTTTGAAGGTTTGTAAACCATTTTGAAGAAGTAATTTAGCACGTTAAACTTATTAGTTTCATTTTGTTGTAGTTTTAGAATTTTACTGCTTGAAATATGGGAATGCTTTGATATTTTGAAGGTTTGTAAACCATTTTGAAGAAGTAATTTAGCACGTAGAGTCACAGACATCAAGAATCTGCTTATGAACCTCAACAATGGTCACAATCGACAAAATATTCAGATCAGCTCTGATCATCACAAAACAAGCTTCTTGTTGATTGTCACCATTGCTGATTCTTGATATTTGGTGAGTCAAAAAGCCTCTATTCAAGACACTTACTATTTAATTATTTTTAAAAAAGTGAATCCCTTACTGTCACAACATCACAAGACTGCTGTAAAAAAATAAAAAATAAAACCTTAAAAGCTAACATATTCAGAGACAACACTCATGATGTGATCAGGCTACTATATGATGACTAACTCATCATCAATAAATAACCAGATTTATCTGATCAGATTTTTCACTAGCAACTATTGCTATAACAAACGTACCTTAAAAACACTCAGTTATAACATCTATATTGATATTATGAATTATGATATTATGATATTATGATATTATGAATTGATATTATAAATTTAAGGGTCAGAAGCCCAACTAAAGCAAACACGTATCTCCACAATGGTGACTTCAAACTTTATTATTTTCAATAAAACATCAACATCTAAACATCTGTTAATTCTCAATAAGAAGTTTTGTATAAAATAAATAAAGTCAGACTGGATTGTAATAAGTGAAGATGCTGAGATCTAGAGAGATCTGTTAGTGTTTCATGTACTGTTGCTGCCAGTCATGTGATGTTTAATTAATTTGGTGTTTGATCATAAAAATTCAGGAAATACCTCTAAAATAACAGTGTTTTCAGCTTATTTAAATAAGGAGGTTTTATTTCAATTTTATGGTTTTTGTTTGGCAGCTGTTGCTGCCAGTCATTTGACCATTTTATCATCTAAAGGTTTTGTTATTGTATTAATTACAGATTATTTTTGTAATTTTACATACATTTGTTTGTAATTTAAGAAAACATACTGTATAAAAGTACAGTAGCTTTTCTGGATAAAAAATGTGAATTAATGTAATTTTTCATTAATGTCATAATACCAGAGGTGGGACTTTCAAGTCACAAGCAAGTCTTCAAGTCAAATCCCAAGTTGAAGCATTACAGTGGCATTTGTTTAATAGGATTTATTTATTTATTTTTTGCTGTTGTGTAATAGCTGAATGGCAGTCAATAAACCACACATGCATTTTTGTAAGACAAATGTCCATATTTCAAATGTAATAAACATTTTTTTCTCACTTCCGCTGACTCTGGTTCAGCTGATGATGTAAGACGTATGTGTTGTGCGCGCGCCTCTGAGAAATGCAGGAGCAAAACAAAGTTTCCTTACTTTAGCAAAGGAAAACCAGTCTCCTCTTGTCTTATATTGAAATCCTCCGACATTTTTTTTTACAAATCCTCATTTTGTGCTTCTAATTCGTGAACGGCGTTTTGTTTTGCTTTGCAATCTTCTGGACCCATTTATTTTATTTAATGTAAAATGTCTGTTTTATTCCTCATATGATTATTCGGCTGAGATACAGATGAACAAATATTGCACAAAACAAATGATAATGTTGGATTTTATGATTTAGAATTGCAAGGTACTGTTTATCACACCATGGTTATTTAGTCAGGAGTCTAAACTGAACATTTTGTAGTTTCATTCAGTCAACCATGTTTTTGTTTGTTTGTTTTTTTACACAAAATTATAACAAAGTATTCTGGCTCAAACAGTATTATTTCAGATTTAATGAGTGCGTGTTGGAGATCATTTTTAATTTTCTGTAATCAACAAATAGGTATTCTATAATTATGTAAAACATCCATATTTGAGGGGGCTATTCTGGAGCTCAGAGATGCCGACGTATCGATCCCTGTGTTCTTTTTGTGATTGGTTTTTCCTCTCTTGTAGGCCAGTATTCAACCCAGGTCTGCTCTCCAAAAACATACTGCAGACTAAAACAACAGAAAGTGAAGTCAAATTGGTCAATAAAAAATAAGGATATAAAAGAGAACTCTTTTAAAAATGTTTGTTTTCATGATGATTTTTATAAATTTTTGAAAAATATTTGATAGACATCCAGTTTTACCTGAACAAAACATATTTTAATAACAGGTCAAAATATGTGATCATTTGTAAAGATTTTTTGTCTGTTAGGGTCTTCTTTTATGGTTTTCTTGCTTACGTAATGGTGACTTTGTTTTAGTGAACATGTATTAATATTTTTTGTCTTTTAATAAATATTAAAGTTCACTTATTTTAATTAGTGCTGTCAAAATTAGCGTGTTGACGCAGGTGATTAATTTTTCCTGTTGAACAACGTTAAAAATATTTAACGCAGTTAACACAGGGGCGGAGCTAGGATTGACCACCCCACTCACTACTGCTGCTTCTGTCTCTTTTTTTCTATACAATAATTGGATTTATTTAGATGCAGAATGTCTTTACCAACACATCAAACAGGAGACTTTTCTGACTTGTACTTTAAATTTGCGTCAGCAACAGGCGCTAGTCAAACAAGCGCGGAAAAGGTACAGGTGACGAGGAGCTTCAGTAGAACAACAGTGAACTGTAGTCTAGAGATGTAACAGTATGAAAATTTCTTATCACGATTATAATGACCAAAATTATAACAGTTATCAGTATTATCACGGTACTGTTAAAATGTGCTGGAAATGTTCAAAAACTACTGACACATAAATTCACCAAGTTTTATATTTAAAATCAACAAACAACAAATAAAATGATTTTTGTTTGCGTAAACACTAACATTACATTAATGATGTATTAACATTACCAATGATGTCCGGATTTTAAATGACTGACAACAGTTTATCTAATAGCATGTACGAAATGTTCAAATAAAACTTTGAAAAGGTTTAAAAAAAATGGTAAAGCTCACATTTCGGCCTTAAAATAAAGAAAAGGGTTAAGTCAAAATGATACCTGATTAATAAATGATCCATAAGTAATTCTAAATTATTTTTAACCGGACAAAAACTGCACACAGGCTGTATGTGAATGTAACTCTGTGTAAATCCACTCTTTGACACTAGGCGACGCTTATGGAACAGTAGAATTAGAGCTGTTTCCATTGCAATTAAGAGCACTTTATTAGGTATCACATGGAGTGAAGATGAAAACAAAATGCCATCGAATCTTTTCCATAGACAGACAGAACCTTCAGAGGTACATTCATATAATTAATTCATTCATATATTTATTTGTATAATTCCCTTAGCACTCTTTTAAAACCTCCCAGCTTTTCCGCCATGTTTTTACACAAGACGAAACTACTCTGCATGCAGTGTGCATGTGAAACTGTTACTTAAAACTGTGTGTTATGCTGGACAGTATTTATTTATCCTGAGTTGTTCAAATCACAATAATTGAATACGGTTTTAATGATAATTAAAATATGAAATGATAATACTAACCGTGGGGAATTTTATCATGATTTATCATCAAACCCGTAATCATTCCATCCCTACTGTGTTCAGATGAGATGTTACCAGGATGCTGTCTACACAGCAAAAACCCTGGTGTTAAATTAACACTACAGAGTGTTAAAAGTAACACTGAAGCGTTGTTAATGAAGTTAATGAGGTAATTAAGAGATTCACTGAGTAATGATTGACCATTATTGAAGACACCTGATGTTAACAAACAGAATCGCCAAATAAGAAAATCACAATTTTTAAAGTCACCATTATAGTGGTCAGTGTTTACTTTAGTTTCTATAAGTTTTAGAAGGATTTCATACAAGCTGTTCTGATAAAAAAAAAAAACCTTCAAAAAAGCTTTTCTTTTAGGCACACGCAGACATCAAGAATCAACATATGCTCATCAACAACGGTGACAAGCAGCATATTCTAGGGCTGCACGATATATCGTTTCAGCATCGATATCACGATGTGCGCATCCACGATAGTCACATCGCAGGATGTGCGATGTTTAGTATAGGCTACTGACCATTATATTTATACTGATTGTTTTCTTTGCTCACACACAGACACGGTGTCTACACCAGACGCGACAGCTGTACAGACGAGTAGCATTTACATTTAGTAGCAGAGCTACTGCACGTGATTTTCAGTGCTGGAAATCCGTTTGTCCTTTGTTGACAGTTCCGCGTCCTCTGGAGAGCGCAGGTCATGGTTGCTTAGCAACGGCAGACGCCACGAAAGCACAAGCTCCTGAGTGCTTTGGAAAGAAGGAGAACGTGGCGCAGCTGGCGTTTTCCAATGCGTTTTTAGGCACTAAAATCAGTTTTGCAGCAAAATCACTTTTGTAGCTTTAACACAGATTTATTAGATTTAAAAATATCTCAATGTGAGTTTTTTCCGATATCGTGCAGCCCTAGCATATTCATATAAAAAGATCAACTCTGAACATCACAAAACAAGCTACTAAAAAGTCACATAAAAACAGCAAAAATAAAAGAAAACAGTAAGAACAAAAAATTTTAAAAAAGACAATTCTGCTCATAATTTATTCATGCCGTAATGCATGATGGGAGCCATGGATGATTTTTGATTGGCTACAATGTGCTTTTGTGATGGTCACTGTTGTGATTCTCACACTGATTCTTGATGTCAGTGTGTCTAAATTAAAGATTTTTTTTTCAAGTTTTGATCAACATAACTTTTAAAAACATCTGTCTGATTATACTGAAAATGCCAGATCTTATTTTGTTCACAGTGTTGACAAAGCCAACAAACAAAATCTGACCCAGTTATTCAGATCACTTCATAATCATCACCACCTGATGACTTTTGCTTTTTGCAAAAGTCTAACTGTTACAACACAGCTACAGCAGCCAAATAAAATGCATTATTAAAAAGTCAAGGGTCAAGTGCTTTTGTGATGGTCACTGTTGTGATTCTCACACTGATTCTTGATGTCACTGTCTAAATTAAAGATTTTTTTTCAAGTTTTTGATCAATATAAGTTTTAAAAACATCTGTCTGATTATACTGAAAATGCCAGATCGTATTTTGTTCACAGTGTTGACAAAGCCAACAAACAAAATCTGACCCAGTTATTCAAATCATTTCATGATGATCATAGCAAAACATAATCATCACCACCTGATGACTTTTGCTTTTTGCAAAAGTCTAACTGTTACAACACAGTTACAGCAGCCAAATAAAATGCATAAAAAAAGAAAAACAGGTAGCCCATCTGAATTAGGACATTTAGGCTATCCATCTAATAGTAGCCTACCAAAATCTTATTAACAGTAGAAGTTAAATCTTACTGTAGTCTTCAAATCTGGGTACTGTCTTACGTTTTAAAATCACAAAGGGAGTTTGGTCCCATCAGGCTAACGTGACAGTCACGACTCATGCAGCTGTAAGGTTTTATTTTTCTTTTGTTTTTACTCGCGATCTTTACAACACGCATTACATTACGTATTTCATGGCACACTCGTTTTATGCGTATTTGGCACCACCTATTGTTGTGGGTGTATTATTGACATGTCAAAGTCTATAAGACGACTGCGTTTTTTCAGATGTATTTCCAAGAAAAAAACATTGTCTTATATTCGAGTCAATACGGTACCTCATTAACTTTAACACTACTTCAGTGTTACTTTTAACACTCTGTAGTCTGGACACATATAGACACCCAGCAGCGTTCATTTAACACCGGGGATTTTGCTGTGTACACTGGAAGCGACACGGCGTGACACGACAATCCCCGACAGTAAACAGCTGCATTGTTCTATTTATAATTTGCTGATACAGAGTTCAAATGATTTTCAATGGTTGTGGTCTGGTGTAGACACGCTGTTGAAGTGTCTGTGTGGAGTGTGGAAGCAGAACAGTAGCGCTCAGTGCGGGACAGATGGAGGCGCCGGTGCCAGCAATGAAAAGCAAACAGGATGCGCTTTCTGCCGTCTCGGTCTCTATGAACTTGAGCGCGAAACTCAGTGTATACTTGCCTTAAAGACATGAAGAATGTATCTATAGAGAGTGAAATGTATACCTTCAAATGAACCAATTCAAATGGAAAACAGATATTCTCAGAATATGTTATCTGTAGCCTATGAAACATGCATACAGGCGGATCCACTACTGCGGAGATGACGAGTCAGTGTCGCCGACTTCATCTCTTAAGCCGAAAACAAAGAAAGCACTTTATCAATACATTATTAAAATGTTAATGCAGTCTCACTGTTTTTCCCTGAAACATTCAAAATCATTACTTCTGCTGGTGTGCCGTGGCAAGCTTTATGCGTGTGCTTGAGCACTTATTAGGCTAAACAATTAAAGTCCCCATGAAATCAAAATTAAAGTTTTTTGGGCGTTAGTATCAATATGATAGTCTTAAGGTTATCTATAAGGCAGTGTGCTCCAAAACAGTGACAAAATTCGCATTTAGAAAATATTAGCATTCAAAGCTTTCAGTTCGTCACTTCCGCCAAAACGGCTCAACGATTTTTTTGACGTCACATCGTACTTCATCTTCTCATCAAATCTTCTGACCAATCAAACACTCTCTAGAGACCGAAGCGCCCGCCCCCTACACTATAAATAGACGCTGAAGCTGCGGCTGAGATCGGTCGCTTGTTCACAGTGTAGTATTTCCTGTACAGTGAATGGCACGTACTGTACAACGTAGGCGATAGGGAACGATTCAGTTAGTGTAAATATGTTTCGATTGGGGCAAATGAGGTCTGGTTTCACGTTGTGTCACGCGAACCGTGGCAGCGCGCACATCTGATCCGGACTTTGGCTCCGGTCCAGAGATTTCAACTCAGAAAATAAACTACATTCACTATAGAACATTTGTATTCAAGTTATATTTGTATTAATTGTATTGCTTAATTTATTTGTGTATGAACAACACTCTACAGACTTTAAATGCATATATGCAGGCAAATCATCCTATTTTGAAAACACAGATTGGACACCTACCTTCTGCCTATATTTGGCAGGTCAACAGATTTGCCCATGATGAGGTATGACTTGCCTTCTACCAATGCTAAATATTCTCTGCAACTGGGACGAGCCCAAAATTGTCTCACTTTCCCTTCAACACTATTATCAGTGCCTACAGGACAGAACAATGTTTACAAAACAATTCTACTGCAATGTAACTTAGCCTTCATTCGAGCATTAATGGAGAAGGACAACTGCATTTAATAGAAATCAGACATATTTCATATGAATATCATGATCAGTGGAGAAACATGGAGGGAATAATGAACTTTACCTTCTTTCAGCACCTGCTCCACTTTCATCTCATAGGTGTCAGAGTCCTGTGTCAGATTCATCTTCAACAATTTGACTTTATAAACTGTCGAACATACATGTTATATTGTTATTGCCATAACTTATCAGACTTCAGTGGTCATGTTTCAAGTCAAACTTTTTTTTTTTTATTGCATTGTTAAAACACAGCAGTGTTAACGGAATAGTTAACTCAAATAGGAAAATTGTCATCATTTACACCCTCATGTTGTTCCACGCCTTTATGACTTTCTTTCTTCAGCACAGCAAAAACAAAAAGATATTTCCCATAAAAAAAGAAAAACTCACTGATTTGTTTGCAGGGGTACTTGAGTCAACATCTCACTGGAAGGGTTTAAAAGTGACTTAAAAGTGAAATGTGTAAAAGTGAAAGCCATTGTTTGGCTTCAGGAGACTTGGAATACAGTGCACAAGTCACATGATCTACTTTTATGATATGTTTAGCATTTTTGGGGATTAACAGACATGGGCACAATGAAAAGATGTCACATCTGTTTTGGAAAACTGTTTTTAAGCAACAATGTGCTGACTACTTGATCATATTTTTTGATTGTGCACCTGATTTTTGTTATTTTTTTGGAGGTGCGAGCTTTATACACTACTCAAAAAATGAAGGGAACACTTAATCATCACAGTATATCGATCTGTCCAGTTAGGAAGCATAAGTGGTTGTGCATCAGGCAGGCATTTTGAATTGAAAAAGGCATGATTTGCGTAATGTAATAAGTACAAACAGGATCCGTTTTGGCAGGTTATTGTGAAAATAACAGTTTGAAATAAGAAGTAGAGTCACAATTATGACTGAGACACAATTGTAAGAAATTGTAGGATATAAAGTACCAAAGTCGCAATTATCTTAGTATTTTTTTACTGTGGGCTCGAAACGGGCTTCCACACAAAGTTGATACATTAAATTGAGAACGTTCTCGGATATCATCGAGGCCTAACCGTTAAATAGCACTGTACTCTCATTCAGAAAACCTTCTACAACTAAAACGCTGCTCCTCCAGTGAACACTAGAGGGAACCATTTCGCACAAAACAGTTGGTACCAAGAATTGGATGTGCATGCATTGCAATGACAATATTAGTCAAAGGAGCTGTCTGAACAGGGTGTGTTTGTGTGAAAGAGTGTGTCTGTGTAAATAAGACAAAGTTTGCTCAGCACATCCATGCTGATCACCCTTCAGTGTCAGACTCACGAGCGAGAGCAAACACATGAGCAATGATGATGAGAGCATAAAAACAGTGATGAGAAAGCAGGGAAACAATAGAGGAAGTCCATTCCAGTGTTTCCTCTGTGTTTATGTGTTTTCAACCATCACTAGGTAAAAGTGTGAGTTCAGCCTATACAGTATGAATGAACACACATTAGTGACAGGCCAGTTAAAAATAATATAAAAGTGTAAGAACTACATAGATTAAAACTATATAAAACAAAATAAAAGTGCATACAATGATACGTATAAAAATAAGTGAACAATTTGAAATACTACCCTTGAGTCTAATTAAAATGAATATGTTTTTGAAACGATTCAACCTAAAGATTAGACTTGATCTACCAAAGGGCAAACTATTGTAGTTCTTATTGAGAATATGGGATTAAAAAGTGAATATTGTCATGTAGGTCACACACACACAAAGATCAGGAAGTGCTGTCTTGAGTTGTGTGCTAGTCGGCGGAACTGGCTGTTTGATGTGAGGATGTGTGTGTGCAGAAGTGTGTGTGTTGATGCACGTTAATAAAGGATCTAATGACTTTGGTCTGCTGACGCCCTGAATACCCCCGAATGGGCCCCAACATTCAAGTGCATCATGGGCTCCAGGATAAAGTAAGAATGTCTCCGTTTGTCTGTCGATTTCTCTCTGTTTGCTCACTTTGTGGTCTGCTGCTTACTTCCTCTTCCTCACTCTGTCGTTCTCGGATGCGAGTCTTTCTATCATGTCACAATTCAATGAATAAACTCGCAAACAAAAACGGCAACATTTAGAAGTTCTGCAGGAGAACAGATGGACAGTTTGCACACTTTTCCACGCAGAAGCACCATCTCTCCCTGCTTCATTTCAGCTGGCTTGCGAAAATGCATAGCATCCTCAAAACTGCTTTAAGTCTGAATGTCACTGAAGTAGAAAAACATCAGATCAAGTACCTCAATGCACTTTTCTTCATCAGTTCTTAAGTCTCGATGCGTTCGGATCAGCTGCTGTTCTGGTGATTTTTAGTAGCTGTATGAAGTCAGTTCTCAAGTTCACACAGGTGTGGAGAATCACATTAACTATCAACATGTAACCATCTTCAACACTACATCTATTGGTTTCTCATCTCTTGGGAGTGAAAAATAAAGAATACGATCTCTTACAACTCAATTGCAAATGGAGTCCGATTTTTCTCCTGAGAAACAACAGATCTGCCAAAACCTGCGATTAAACATCTCAATTTGAACATTTCTCATCACATTCTTGATAGTTTGTCATTTAAAAATCTCCTTTGGTTGGTTTTAGCAGACAAACATGCTGTTAGGATCATTGCATTTGCATCATTCTATTTTAGACAGCCTGCCAAACTCATAACTGGAAATATTTTCTGTTGATGTGCTTCTTCTAATTTAGTAGTCAACCACATCCTGCTCCACCAATGAAGCGCCTTATTAAGATCTTGTAAGAAGAACAGCAGAAAATGATTGAGAGCCGATCGCATTCAGTCGCTGGTCATTCTTACAGTGTTAATGCTTCACACATCAGATGAGTGTAATGTTTTGTTATGATGACTGTTTTGCTCATGGTTTTGTTGTTCTCAGAGAAAACCCTGAAAAAACATTCTACTGGTTCTTTCAAGCCTCATGTCCAATCGCCAGAGATAAAGGTGGGTACCACACACACACACACACACACTGACTAACTGATGTAATAAACACACACTCACAAACTGTCTCTTCTGAGAATGGCTCTTCCTGTCACATGACTGAACTAGAAAAACCACACATCAGGGCAGATACACACTCGTCAGAATAAGAGAAGTCAGAGGAACTAGTTAGTATGCTGTGATCTGCTGACGGGTGAAAGGAAGCACACCTTCTGGGTTGGACCGGGTCTAGATGAGGTCTGGCTGAGCCGGACTGGTTACCCTGCGTGGCTAACTTTGACCTGACTTTAACCACATCCTCTACTTGAGAAATGAGCCGATGCGACTGACTTTCGAGTGTGTGTTTTCTATTTGAGTAGATCCTGATGTGCTGTTTCACTTCCCTGAAGACTTTAATGATGAGGTTAGTACTCGAGGATCACTGTGGCTCTTTCCTTCTGTTTTCATTTAATTTTCATTTGAAGAGTTAATTTGCAAAAACAGATTACTCAGCTTTTAACCATTTTCAAAAATCATGTTTTTTCATTGTGCTCTGAAATTAATCTCAATCAGACTGCAGTTGGGTTATTTTGATGAAGTAAAAATTAAAAAAAAAAACATGATTTTTGAAAATAAAAAACAGAGTTTTCTGTTTTTGCAAATAAACTTCATTTATTTTTATTAATTAATTTTATTTAAAAAAAATTTAAAAAAAAAAAACACTGCATAAATAAATAATTGCATGAGCAAATAAATGCACAAAGAAATAAGTCAAGCCTCTGCTTACCATGATGTACTAGCTAAGAATTAGGGAAAATTATAATAAATAAAAAACATTTCACAAATAAATGCATGAATAAAACAAATGCACAAATAAATAAATTAAATATCCTAAAATAAATAAATAAAATAAAATAAGTTAATAAGATAAATAGCCTCTGGTATTCATAGGCCCGGTATCACAGACAGGGCTTAGCCTAAGCCAGGATTAGGCCATAGTTCAATTAGGACATTTAAGTCATTTTTATAAACTTGCCTTAGAAAAAAGCATTACTGTGTGCATCTTGAGACAAAACAAAGGCACTGACATATTTCAAGATTAATCAGTGCAAGTTTATTTCAGTTGAAACAGCTCAGACTTACACTTTAGTCTAGAACTAGGCTTAAGCCTTGTCTGTGAACCCGGGGGATAATGTAATAGTTAAGTTTTAAGAATTAGGGAAAATTATAAATAATAAATGCATTTTATCTTTCATCAAAATATAACAACCATTTCCACTTCTGCAGCAACTTTGCTTTTCTGGCAATGGCACTGAGGGCACCTGGCATTAATGTCAATCAATTGTCAAATAATAGTATTACAGGGAACAGGCATTGTTTTAGCCTTTTTAAACTGCTTTCAACAGTGATAACAGTAATTTAACACATATTAACATAAATATAATAAAGTTTAGGACAATAAATAAGGACAGATTTGAAATAGAGAAACTCTGGAGGGTGTCCACAATCCAAATCTCCCATTCAGGTATCAAACACCCACTTTTCATCATCCAGTAAAGTCTTGATGGATTCTTTCCTTTTACTTCAGAAATATCTCACATTATGCAAGTAAATGGAACATTTGTGAAGGAATATTTGCACAGATAATGATTTTTAGGTGACTTATCAGCAGGTACACTCTTAAAAATCTTTAACATCCATGGAAACGTTCCATTCCACAAACGGTTCTTTATAGTGTTCTTTGCACTAAGAAAAAAACTGTTCCTTTAAGAACTGTTCACTGAAAGGTTCTTTGGGCAACCAAAAATTGTTCTTCAATGGTATCACTGTGAAAGCCTTGTTTTGGAACCTATATTTGATGGCGTTTCTTCTATTCTCACACAGGAGTCTCTGCAGTCCTTGCCTCGCTTCTGCTTCCCTTATGACATAGAGAGGTGAAAATCGTTCATTCGTTATTAAAGATGGATGCTCAAGCCTTTTTACCTTTCATAACTGATTAACTGAGGCTAGTCGGTTGGTTGGCAGGGTGAAGGACACTGTCACCGTGCAGCACTTCACATTCGTCCTGACCGATCTGGAAGGATGCCAGCGCTTCGGTTTCTGCAGACTCACGTCCAGCTCTCAGACCTGCTTGTGCATCCTCAGGTCTCAAAATACACCCAAAAAACAAATGAGTGATGATTTATGTAGCCCCTTTTATTCATTCACGATCTGCTTCTCAT